AAAAAAAAAAAAAAGTTCCAGGATAGCCAGGACTACACAGAGAAACCTTGTCTCAAAAAACAAAATGAAATAAACAGACAAAATTCTTACGAGTGTAAGAACAAGACTGGAGAAAGAAAAGTCTTTTCAAGAAATGGTGCTGATGTTCTCTGGACTCAGTACGTTCACACGGATACTCACACCCAGACACATGTGCACATACATCACATGCATATGCCTTATACATACACTGGACACCATCAACACATACATAATGCACACACTCATACATGCCGATGAATAAAAAACAGCGAGAATGTTAGAATTGGACTTACATATATAGCTAAGAGATTATATCATATTAGATTATAACTATGTATTAGCTGAGTCTTAATTATAACCTGAGTTTTGCTCATTGCTTTAGTGGGGGAAGTGTGTAACCAATATGAAACGTGAAATCTGGTGGGAACTCCAGAAGTGCTGTAGTGCAGGGCTGGAGTCAGGATGAACGGCCTTGCTTCTGAGGCACACCAGGGAACCAGAGTTTCAACAGCGCATTGGAACGTTCAAATAGCCAGAAGAGAGACCTCTGAACGGTCTCCCCGCAGAGAAAGGATCAGATTGGAAGCAATGGCTACACTGATCATGGCACATCACACGCAGGGGTCAAAGCACATCCTACTTCACAGTTATATATGGTTAGTAAGTTAGAAAGTCAGCAAAAGAAAACCAACATAAGAAAAAGTACTACTAAGTTATTTCCCTTCATCGTTAAGTGTGAGGAATCCCCCAAATTAAACTTAAAACTACAAAAGAAAGCAAACTTTGGCTCTCTGATGTGGAATGATGAAGAGTGAAGGTCTTTTAAAAGAAAGGAAGAAAGAAATGCTTGCTTGCCTCATGCTATGTTGTAGCGCTGCGGAAATGCATTTGCTGCAGCCGTGGTGCTTCAGGATGGCAGGGATCGCTTACACATTTTTAAAAAAGGTTTATTTATTTTATGTACATGAGTCCTCTACCTGCAGTATGACTTTGCGCCAGAAGAGGGCATCAGATCCCGCTATAGATGGTTGTGAGCCACCAGGTGGGTGCTGGGAATTGAACTCAGGACCTCTGGAAGAGCAGCCAGTGCTCTCACCTGCTGAGCCATCCCGCCAGCCATTTTTTTTTAAAAGTCACCTCTTTCTTAACAACTAACATGTTTAAGATGCCATTTATACATTTTTATTTATGTAACCAATTTAGCTAAGTCCCAATTAGTGGCAAAAAATAGAGACATTCTAAGGAAGGCATGGAGTGGGCATGTGAACAACCAAAGAAGACGGAGGAGCACTCACCAAGTGTTTCCTGAGCAGTGTAGTTTAGGAACCGCTTGCATATATAAGGCAAGGCCGACTCACAGTCCCTGCTCCTCCAGGCGGTTGAGGGAGGTTTCAGTGTTCCACAGTGATACTCAACAAATGGCCGATCACTTATCTCTGAAAATTAATAGCATGGAAATGTAGCTTCAGCACAGATGTTTGCCCTTAAAGATTGCCCTAAAGTTAGCCTTAACGCCCCAAGCCCTTAAAGTTGGCCCTTACGGTGCCTCGCTTAGCGCCCCCTACAGGACATTTGCTATGATGATCTGTGATTTCCAAGTTCAAGTCCAGGCATGACCATGAACTGATTTTCCAAAGATAGCTAAAGAGACACGTCTGTTGCTTTAGAGTAGCAACAGTAGTAGCAAATAGTAGAGTTGCTATTTTGAAAACAGCAGTCTATCTCTGACCCCAATTCTGCTGCAATGTTAGCTAAATAGATTACCTTTCTGACGTCTGCCTTCTGCAAGTCAGTAAGGGTAAACCAATATTTATAAACTACCAGGTGTGGGGCATACACCTATATCCCAGCACTTGAGAGGTCAAGGCAAGAGAACTGAGAGCTTCAGGCTTGCGTGCAGAGCATAGGACACCCTGACCCAAGGGGAAAATATATTAACCACTTGCAGAATGCTATGTGTAAGTCTGCAACATACCCCTCATGTTGAAGGTAAATAAGATGCTGCGGGTACCTGGGCTCCAGTTCAGGTAGCTGAGCGCTGTGCCATCAGACCACTGCCAGCCAGCCCTTTCATCCAGCTGATTCAAGCCAATCCACACCTCCACGGTTTCCCTGCTCAGCTGCTCTGAAAAGAAAACCATGGCATTCGTACAGAAAGAACAGACAGAGCACAGGAAAGTCAAACCCAGCACTCTGCTGGTGTCTTGAATTGTTATTTCTTCAGGTCATAAAGCCATAGGTAATGCCAGACTACGACAAAACCAAGTGTTATGACCCTCATGCTGGGGCTTCAGTGTGACAAAGCAGGATTTGGCCATCTGCAGCCACACGGCAAGCTTCTGAAGACCTACTGACAGCAAGGAGCAATGACCAGCTCTGGTCTGTGCAAGGCTCTCCCATGTCCCCCAGCTCACACTCTTCCAGCTTTGGATGGTGGCGGTGGAGACGTCCAGGGCCGCCCCCAGAGACTGGATGGAAGCAGGTGCACACACACACTTAGGTGAGCTGAAGCCCAGCTGAGCTGCTGGGCGCTGTCTGAAAAGAAGCATCATAGTGTAAGAGCCCAGTGTTCTGGAGGCCTCAGCAGCAGGGACCCAGGCCAGGGCTTGGCATACTTGAGAAGAGGGTTTTGCAGTTCTGTGGTCCCTGCTTCTAACCATGGTTCTGCAGTAACTCACCGGTTAATCTGACCATGTCTGTGCAATGGGTACTGTAAATAAACATTGGCTGACATACTTGCACAGAAAAAACGTGCCTGGAGAAGTTGTATAATTATGGTTTTTTTCCTTTTTGTTTTTTTGTGCACCTAAGTTGAAAACCATTTTGCTAGTATGAAGATGTACTACACTGTACAATAAAATTGGGTAGGGGGAACAGCCATGTCAATGACTTACAATAAAATTGGGTAGGGGGAACAGCCATGTCAATGACTTACAATAAAATTGGGTAGGGGGAACAGCCATGTCAATGACTTTTAGTAAAAATAGTTAATTTTGTGGCTGTCTCAGATATTGCCATTTTGACATTTCTTCTTTTAAAAAGAGCACGTTTTCTTCTGGTTCATGTGCTTCAGAATAACTCACTTCCTTTCCTCCTCCTCCTTTTCTCTCTTTATTTCTGTGTGTCTGTCTCTTTGTCCCTCTGTCTTTGTTTCTGTCTGTATCTTTCTGTTTGTCTCTCTCTGTGTTCCTATCTCCTGTTCCTGCCTGTCTCTCTCTGTCCCTCTGTCTCTGTCTCTGTCTCTGTCTCTGTCTCTGTCTCTCTCTCTGTCTCTCTCTCTCTCTCTCTCTCTCTCTTTCTCTCTCTCTCTTTCTCAATGCAAGGACCTAGCCAGAGATTATAGGCAGGTCCTACAGAGAATGACTGTCTGGGCATCCTTCCTTTCTGTAGTTTCAGAACTGTTATTAAGCTTTTCAGTTTGTTTGGACCTTAGGATAGGATTACCAGGGTAAGGACTCAGTGTGTTCAAATAAATCTGCTGCTTCCTCAACAACTGGACATTTCAATATCAGAGTGGAAGCCTAAGGAAGCCAGACACTGGGGGGAAAAAGCCATAGAAGGTGCTTTATCACTAAATAGAACATATTGCACATGAACATGTCCAAGTTTTTGTGGTATTATACTCAGTCTCTTCTTGATGTCCATCTGCTTCCCGCCTTCAATAGTATGGTTGGATTGGATCAGTTAGCCTTCCCGTGAGGATGAGAGGTGGATTGAGGCACTCACTGACAAGACAGGGAGAGATTTCCATATTCCACACCCAGGCAAAGTGCTAAGTGGTATTTTCAATAACCTAATTCAAATATTAAATTATTCTTGGAATTACTCCACATGCCCCAAACTGTACAATTTTGTTTACTAAAATGCATGAAAACATCATGTAGTTTGTAATTCATGTTTAAAGGCACACACAAACACACACACATAACAAACAAAAACAACTAAAGCAAACAAACAACCCCCACCAGTCTATTTACTTTTGTAGCAGAATTTACCCTTAACACATAAATACAAACTGGGAATGAAATTCCTTTGAATGTTTCTTGTCATTTGTGACAGCCTAGATAATTCTCTGTCTCACAATCCATTCACCAGTGACGAGCATCCCTCAAAATCCTTTGGCTGGGACAGTTTCTGTCTTTATGAATAGACTTCTATTTCCCCCAAACAATCCCCAAAGTCTAATTATAGACTTGGAATGTTTAAATAAAATCCAGTGACAGATCTTATTTTTTAAAATTGCTCTTCAGGCTTGATGAATAGGTACAGAATTCTCCCCTGAGAGACTGCGGCAGTTGAGACAGATAACAGCCGTAATTCATAAATGGTGTGCAAGCTTTTGCATAAGACCCATTGCACATTAGTAATGATTTTGGAAATTGGTATTTTACTCCAATTAGTTTGGACGATAACTCCCCACTTGTGCCGAGCTGTTGCAGGAAAGGCGAGTGTGCACTGTGCATCCATTTATCAGAGGCGTTCTGGGAGGCCTTTCTGACTTTGCAACGATGTAAGTCTGCTTCTTCCCTCCAGTGAATCTCATTCCATAAACACAGAAAACAGCAATTGGGACCCTGTGTGAAGGTTTGTGTGGGCATGGCTGGCAACAACAACAGACAAATGTCAAAACAATTCTATCTGCCTCTTCCAACGGCAGATTAATATGTTACTACAAAGCTGTACTACAATGCAACAAATCGTTTCTGTGTAACAAAATGGAGTAACAAGATGAAGGGCTGGGAGGGTGGCTCAGGGGTAAGAGTTCTCACTCTGTAAGCCTGAGTGCCGGAATTCAAATTCCCAGCACCCTCACTGAAAAGCTGGATGTCACCAGGATGCCTGTAACCTCAACATTAGGGGGAAATACAGGAAGACTCCAGGAGCTCACTGGCCTAGCTAGCCTAGCTGAACCTGTGAATAAGGCAGAGAGCAATACAGAAAAACTTCTGACATCTTGTTCTGCTCTCCAACTGTGTGTGTGTGTGTGTGTGTGTGTGTGCTGGAACACATGCATCTGCATACTCTTAAACTCAAGCCACACATGTAACACACTCACATGCACACACACACGCATGCACACACATGCATGCACACATGCACCCCCCTCCAATGCAGAACTATTTTTTCACCTTTACAGACATGCACAATGAACACACGCAGGTAAGCTGATTAAACAGATTGCACATAGCTGTCAATTGGTGAACCCACACCATTTGTTATGCATGCCAGACATTATAAGTCTCCCCCTGCATTATAAGATGCAGTGCACAACACCAAGGAGCTACTATCATTGTTTCCACTCGATAGTGGGGAAAACTGACATGCCTAGAGGCTGAATTACTTCTTGAGCAGCCCTGCCAGTAGGTGGTGGTGGGAGGATTCAAACACAGATAGCTGTCTCTCTCTTTGCATCTAAGTACTGCATAGCAGCGCCTTGGGTTTTATACGGTACCGATCTGTATGAATATCACTGGTTAGGTTTTATTTGTTTATTGTGGTAGCCAACTTGACACAAGCTAGAGTCATCTGGAAAGAGGGACTCTCAATTGAGAAAATTCTTCCATCAGGCTGGCCTGTAGGCAAGTCGGTGGGGCATTGTCTTGATTAATGATTGCTGTGGGAGGACCCAGCCCACTCTTGCTGATGCTACCCCTAGGCAGCTGGTCCTCTGTGGTACATGTACCCTTCGTATATCACTTGATAACTTTGTTTAGAAGAAAATTCTTTCTTTTTTTTTTAACATTGGTTTGCTGTGGGAGGTCCACTTTGCTGGTGAACCACTGCCACGTGGAGATACTCAGATTAATAGAAATGGGTTAAATTAAGATGTAAGAGTTAGCCAATAAGAAGCAAGAGCTAATGGGGCAAGCCGTGTTTTAATTAGTACAGTTTCTGTGTGGTTATTTTGCTTCTGGGTGGCTGGGATGAACAAGCAGTGCCCTCCTTCAACATTAGTTTAAACTACATCTCTGAGAAATGCTTAAAGATGAGGGAGGAATGATTTCTGAGCAACCTTTAGAGATGTAACTTGAGACCACCAAAATTCTACAGCTATCATTCTAAAAACACCTAGACAGACTCTTGAGAAGCTGATACCCATGTTAGGGTCTGCCTCATTCTTTCCTGAGTACTTCTCTAGCAACCCTTGAGTTTAAGATCATGTTAAAAATAATCCCAGCACTCGGGAGGCAGAGGCAGGCGGATCTCTGTGAGTTTGATGCCAGCCTGGACTACAAGAGCTAGTTCCAGGACAGGAACCAAAAAAAGCTACAGAGAAACCCTGTCTCAAAAAATCCAAAAAAATAAAAAAATAAAAATAAAAATGTCATTTAATAAATCTCTAATTCTGCTTCATATTGGTATACTTTTAATTTTTTTTCACCCACTGAGCAACAAGCTTTGTTTGTCAATAGAGGTTTCTAACAGACAGGAAACCCTTCAGGCTGATGTGGGGGATGCTGTGTAGCTGTGTCTCTGCACTTCTCAGTATTGACAATGGGGGCTTGTCTGGGACCCAGTGAAAATACTGTTGGCGCGTTTCCCTGATGATTCCTTGACTGTTCTTCCTTGATAAACACAACTTGCATTTCATCTTTGTTTCTTTGTTTCTGTTTACTGGCTACCATGTGATGTTTATTAAAATAAGTGTTATTAGAAATAAAGATAAAAATCCCATGGCATTTTCCATATCCCATTCTTGGATCAGATAAAAATAACACATAGTTTATCTAGAAGGAAATTCCCATAAAATCTGATTTACTGATGTCTCAAGTCATGCCTTAAAGATAGCAGTCTGATACTAAAGCTGTCTCCCCAAAGAGTATATTCCAGGACCCAAACTGTACTAGTAATGGCCACTTCTATATTTTGTTTTGACCCTATATCTTAAGCTCTATGTTGGAATGTCTTTTAATAATCTTTAGCTCTATAATATTGAGTGTCTATATGATTATTTTCTTTGTCAAAGTTGCAAATCTTAATTTTGTCTGAATGGAGGGCCCTCAAGGAAAGAGAACAAATGTCATGGAAACAAAGTAAAACTGTTCCCCCCATTCTCATCCCTGCTGGTACTTTGAAATATTATAGTTTTATTCTTTTTGTTAGCATGCAGGTGTTTTTTATTTTCCCACGAATATTAAAGTTTTGGTATTTACCAAAGGTTTTGTGATGGGCCTGCCCACCATGAATGATGGATACGCTATTAACAAATAGACTATTAATTATTTACCAATGGAATCGTATGTCTAAGTTCTACAGATGACAAGAATTGGTACTTAACTTTAGGAGCTCCTCTGATCCGCTTGCAAGAGGCTGTAGCTCACCTGGGTCACACACTATAGCTTCAAATTCTCTTCCCCAAGGGGAAAACTAAGACATGAGTAGTTGCCAAAGAGAATGACATAGTGTTTACATGAAAATCCAGAACTGGGCTGTGGTGGTGCTCAGCTTTAATAGCAGCACTAGGGAGGCAGGGGCAGTGGTTCTCTGAGTTCAAGATCAACCTAGTCTGCAGAGTGAGTCCCTGGACAGCCAGAACTATGCGGAGAAACTGTGTCTCAAAAACCAAACATAAATAAATAAATAAATAAATAAATAAATAAATAAATAAAATTCAAGATCAGAATGGTGGTGAGATGGCTCAGTGAGTAAGGTCACTTGCCACTAAGCCTGACAACCTGAGTTTGATCCCCAGAACCCACCCATTGGAGGCAGAGAATTGACTCCTGTAAGACTGTCCTCTGACAGCTGCCTGCATGCACATAGAAATCTTTAATAAATAAATAAATTAATTAAAAAAACACACACACATGCTGAATAAATTGCTTTAAAAATTCAGAATTAGATTTTGGGCTATACTAAAAAGAGAAAAACATTTTTGAGGATATATATATATATATATATATACATATATATATATCCAAACATATTTTGCATCCAAGGATAGAATTGTTCACAATAGCCATTTTATTGCATCAACTTCAATATGCATCATTCCCATACTTACTCCGTATAAAGTTTTCCTCGCCTTCATCTGTAATACTTAATAAAGAGCCTCCTTGCATCTGACATGAAGAATGTGCCTCATTCCATGAGAGAGATGAAAGCAAGTTGAATTGGTAGCAAACACGTGAATTGAAATCCTTGTGCCACACGGCGTCACAGAATACCTCTGTGGAGGCTGAAAACAAAGTTCATTAGAAACTCAACAGCGTTCACTGTGCTGTTAGTGATATCAAATATTTCTAAGGTGAGTTCAAATAATATGACTCCAGATCACAACCTCTAAAACTTCGGTGCCTTGACTAGGTCCTTATGCGAGATATGCCTTGCTGTTCTGCTGATATTTTATGGTTAAACTCTAATTTTAAATTTTACTTAAGGTAACCCAAGAAATATCAGTAAAGAATTTCTGATACCTTTGAGGAATAAGAGAAACTAGTTTTAAGAGAAAGAAATGGAATTGAAGTATTTGTGAAAATAGTATGTTGATTCTTTAATAAGCGGGTGTTAGAACTGTACATTAAACATGAGAATTATATATTAATTTGGGACAGCCTTTAATGCTGCTCCTCTAAAACCTTTCTCCTCTAATACCAGACTGCCAAAATGGAGTGAAAGTGGTAAGCAGATACATATGTGAAAATGAACACGTTTTCATCAGGCATAGGGACGATGATACTAATTTTAAGTAGTTCTTTCACAGACGAGGAATAGACGCAAAACTCATCTGTAAGACACTAGTCAAAGATTTCATAGTTTAGAAGTAAATTCAATAAAGTATAAAGTGTGGATCTGAAATCTGAATTTTATTGAAATGACAGAAAGCAAAGACCCATTTGGGACCTCTAACATACTAGGCAAGCACTAAGCCATTCTTTTCAGTGTCTTGGTATGTTCTTTGAAGCATGTGTTTTTGTTTTTTATTAATGAAGAAAGACATAACACATTGTTGACTCATTTTTAGAGACTCTGGTGAGGTTGACAATTACAGTTGGTACCAATGTATTCTGTTTTGTCATTCAAGTTACTGATAAAACTATCAGCATTTTTTAAGATTTATTTATATTCTATGTTCTGCCTGCATGTATGACTGCAGGCCAGAAGAGGGCACCAGATCTCATTACAGATGGTTGTGAGCCACCACATGGTAGCTGGGGATAGAATCCAGGACTTCTGGAAGAGCAGGCTGTGCTCTTCACTACTGAGCCATCTCTCCAGCCCTGAGGAACACTTCGTAACCTGTGGGTTACAACCCTTTGGGGAGGGGCCACTTAAGACCATCAGAAAACATAGATCTGTACATTTCAATTCATAATAGTAGCAAAATTACAGTTATTAAGTAGCAATGAAAATAATTTTATGGTCAAGGGTCACAAAATGAGGAACCTGTTAAAGGATTCCAGAATTAGAAAGGTTGAGAACCACTGTTCCAGAGGATAGAATTCCAAAAGTATCTCCAAATGTAATTCTCTGGCTGCCTACGGTATACAACCCAGAGAGAGCTGGCATGGCACAAATTCGCCTCTGAGCAAACCAGCATGAATCCTGTTTATTCCTGACGCTGCTGAACTATATTCTCCGGGCTAGTGTGTTTGGCCATGTATGTGTTAAGTTTAAATTTTGCTTCCTTCCAATCAACTTTTATAAAGGCAGCCCTCATCCCACCCATAGAAATTTTAAAAAATATTTCTTGTGAAATTAGATAAGACACAGAAGTGTGAATCTCTATTTTGTTTCTCTCTGACCTGTCTATTTGTTGACTCATGGAGAGGATGGTCAGCGCACTCAAATTTCATTCCTTGACACATCATTCTGAGTTACGTTGGCCACCAGAAACCAAAAGTAATAAGGAAGGGAGGAAAACAGAGCTGTAATTTAACACCATATAAACATGCTCTCTGATGCTGTGGAGAAGGTCAGGGGAGCTGGAATGGGGGGTGGGGTGGGGGCTGAGGAAGCTCTTGAGCTGTAGGCAGCCGAATAAATAGTCTAAGGAGTGTCAAAGCCCTGAGCCCAAGAAAACCGACCTTCCAAGGGACAAAGCTGAAACTGGCTACTAGGGCCTGTGGATGGTGACAAAATTCTTCTCAGAAACTTAAGAAAACTGTTTGTGCTGGCCAATCTGTCAAGTTGACACAAGTGTTGGTCATCTGGCAAGAGGGGACCTCAACTGAGAAAAATGCCTTCATTAGTGTGGCCTGTGGACGAGTCTGGGGAGCATTTTCTTGATTAATGATGGATGTGCCCATCCTGCCCATTGTCAGTAGCTATCTCCCTGGGCAGGGTCTCCTGGGTCGTATAAGCAGACCAGTAAATAGTGTTGCTCTGTGGCCTCTGCTAAATTTAGCGCCACCTTCAGGTTCCTGCTAAATTTCCTTCTCTTCATGATGGACTGAGGTTGGGACTCTGAGCCAAAAAGGCCCTTTTGGCTCCAAGTTGCATTTTGGTTATGGTGCTTTATAGCAATGCCACAGAAAATAAACTAATCTATGGTTCTTTGTTTAAAGTACCACAGTGCTTAAAAACAGTTCCACGTGAAGAACGGAGCTTCATACACACTAAGGTCTTCACTTGGGATGGTTGGTTCCTGGTGTGATGCCGGTTGTTAGATATCTTCTTGTCATCCTGGTGTATAGATAGAGATAGCCCGAAATGACTTGCATGCTATGAACTCCCTGCTAAAGGGTTATGTGCATCAGAATCACCTGAGCACTTATCAAAAATGCAGCTGCCTGGGTCCCACGTTCTGGACTACTCAGTCTTCCAGGTCATACATCCTGGACCACTGGGCTTCTTCCCCCAAGTAATTCCAGTGCATCCCATCAGATATTGTATTTCCTGGCACACAATAGAGCAAGCCTGTCCACCCTGCCTTAAGTCTAGATGCCAACTTCTTTGAGGGGAACATCCAAAGCTCTAAAACTCTTGGTATTCACTACTATGTGCACTTTAGAAGTAGGGGATAGCAATGAAGAGGAAGGAATTATTCACTCCTAAGGAAACGCTGGGAGGCCTGGGATGTAGCTCAGAGTGTTTGCTCGGCCTGTTAAAGGTCCTAGGTTCATTACTCAGTACTGCCAAAACAGCAGAGGTGCTGGAAAGATGAGCGGCAGCCAGTCCTTAGGATGCTTCCTGAGTGCCCATTCCTTTAAGTGTCTTTGATGCACACTATCTTACTGAACACAAACAATAACCCTGAGAGGCAATGCTATGGTCTTCATTTCGTCACGAGGGAAACCGAGAGTGAAAGAAACAGAGATGAGGGAGTTTCCAAAGATTCTCTGCTGGGAGGAAGTTGGCCTCATCTTGGTATGTCTAAATTAAAAACAGCCACTCTTTCTTATTTATTAAACCCGTGGCTCTTACAATAGGAAACAACTATGAGGCTAGCTTATGGGTCACATTATTGGGAGTTAGCTCTTTAGTTTACCTTTGTTTTCAATGCAATGGTTGCATCTTAGTGTCTGTCTGGAAGGGAGGCAGGCATGGAGAAAGAGAAGGTGGGACATTCTCTGAGTCTTGGGAACCAACGTGAAGGACACAAGATACAGAAAACAGAAGGTACAACTGTTTCTCCAAGCTCAGAAACAATAAAAAAAAATCTTCTAGCTAAATAAGAAATAATAATCAAGTACTACCTGACAAACAAGAGGTCGGACATGACAGCTGAAACTTGAAACTTAGACTAAGAACTTGAGGAAAGGCTGCAGCAGAAGGTTTGGAAAAGTGAGAAGTCAAGATGAGAGAGAGCTCATTGTTGACGACCAAGTGAGGGCCACCGTAATGCGACAGGAAGAACATCAAGGGGCCGCTGATGTCAGGACCTGACCCCTAGGCAAGACAAGCAGCCTAGATGTGGAGACATTGTAAAAGCTCCTGGGAGGCCGTAGACCGAAAGATGGGCTGGGTTTTATCTGCATTCTGCGTATTTGGAAGCATTCTGCTGGGGAGCTGGCATTGGCGAGGTCTATTTGGTTCTAATTTGATTCCAGTTAAATCATCTTTATGCACCAAGCGTAATGAAGAAGGGCTAGTTAGCATCTTTTGAATGCCGAGCGGAGACAGGACTATGAATTAGAATTGTCTCTTCAAGTCAAAAACAAAGCTCAAATCAAGATCTAGATGGATGGAATCAGGGCACTTGTTCAGACAGACATCAACCCATCATTCCCAGCGTCTGCTTTCACTACAGATACGCTTCCAATCATCCTCGATTCATTCACGACACAGGGAGACACATTTAGTCTTACTAGGATCAGGGCAGAACCCCCATCTCTCATCTCGTTCGTAGCGGCTTGTAGTGGCGCACCACAGCAGGTTTTCTTTCCGCCCTTCCCGGGTACATTCATGGTGCCACTGCTGGTTGTACTGAAAGGGTAACACACAAGGCATCCCGTGGGCATTCCCTTTGACTGTATATAAATCTAGGAGAGAAAAGAGAACCACAGTCAAATACAGCGTCACTTTCTTCTCTGGTACGTGTCATCTGTCAGTGTATTTTTATTGACTGAAAACCCCCACTGGCAGGCACGTGTTAAAAGCTCTGTGAACCCTGGGGCCTCACCAGCTAGTGTGTACAGACACACCCGGCCTGCAGAAGCGGTGGCAAACGGTTTGCTCCTGTGTGTATCTAGTTGTTTGTTTCCTATAGCTATGCCTCGCGGAAGCATGCGAATTTGTGAAGGAATGAAAAGAAAAAAAAAAGTTTTTCTCTTTTAAAGCATTTGCAGCCTCCCTACAGGAGGCTGACGCTGTAGACCACAGTCCTCTAAACAAAACAGCGGCCATCTTCACCAGATCAGTTGTGCAAGCGTCATCATGGCTGGGCCTGTGGACTGTGGACGTTCCCTGATAGAAGAAAGGCGTGGGGAGGGTCACAGGACTCTCACTCGAGTATCTTGTGATGGTCATTTGTATACTAATGTGTCCTAACGGCAAGTGACCTAAGAGATCCCCGAGGTACTAGGATGCATAGGCTGGGGAGGGCTAAACAAAGAGGGATTCATCTATTCATCTTGGGGGCTGCGGTTCACGCTAGGCACAGACATTCTAGTATGGCTGCTTCAGGTCTACCCACTCTCCAGCCCGTAACCGTCAGCCATGCTCTGTAAGGAAGCCTGACAAACGCATTGCTTCCTCGGGGTTAACTCTGGTGGACCCCACCTTTGGCTTGTCATTATGTCGGGGGATAGATGCTGTTTATTTCTCCCCGGGGAAAGAATTTTTACAACAGCCAGTAGATATTTTTGGGAAACCGAAGAGATGGTTTAACTTGTTCCTCTTGCAGAGAAAGGACCTGGTTTCTGTTCTCAGCACCGACATGTTGACTCAGAAGCATCGTAACTCCAGTTCTGGGGGACACAAAGTCCTCTTCTGGCCTCTGTGGGCACCAGGCATGCATGTAGTGAATGCACATATGTGCAGGCGGAACATTTATACATAAACAAATCCTTTAAAATTAAAAAATCAGTATGCATTGAACATTTAGCATATCTACGCCGGGAATATAGTGGTGAATGGTAAAACTTCCTTTCTGTTAACAGCTGGCTTGGTAGAGAAAGAACGTGTGATAACACATATGTAAACATAGTTTTAGGTAATAATCAATTCCACTCGGAAAATAAAATAGGATAAGAAGATTGTGTGTGTTGTGAAGCAGCCCTTGCATCAGGTGGTCAAGTTGACTGAAGCAAGGATGCTACTAGTGTGTGGAGGGAAACTGTCCCCCACAGAAGGAGCTGCAGGTCTAAAGATGTGGGAAAAACAGTGCTTGCGGAATAAAGGCGGCCCCTGGAGTGGACTCCAGAAGCAGTTTCTCAGATGGCTGTTACACACGCCCATCTTTATCCTGAGGGTGGTGGACATCACTGGCAGGTTTCAAATGAGAAACCAGACTCCCATTCTTAAAAAAAAAAAAAAAAAAAAAAAATTCAGCGGGCGCACTGTGACACAGTCTGAATGGAGAGAGAGTGAAGGGGGCTAACGGGTGGGTCAGCTTCTATCTGTAGGAATGCTGGGGTGCCCTTGATGACAAAAGAGTCCTTCAAGGGGAGCCAGGGTCTCAGACACGGCCAGGAGAGCTGCTCTGAGCCAGTGCTCCAGACAGTGTTTGTCTCACGAATTCAAAGCATGAAATCCAGGGCTCCAGAGGGTGAGTCCTAGAAATATTTATTATAGAGTCTCAGGTGAAGGTTTGGGGGAGGGGGACACCTGTAAATTTAGCAGGAAGAGCTCCCAGGAAAGCAGGGACCACCCAGCTGACAGTCCTGGTCTTTTAAGGGACTTATGGCAGACACAGGGCTGAGGTCTGAGTGGGGAGATGAACGAATGGGCCCGGTTGCCTCCTCTTAATCTGTCAGTCAGAAACCCTTAGCCTCACAGTGCTCCTTCAGAAGACGAAAGGGGAAACAGGAATCAGCACTTTTCTGTCCTCCAGGCCTTCAGCAAAGACATTCTCAGAACCCCAACCCACCTGACCAGTTTCTACTTTCTGTTCTCATCAAGATGGCCACTATTATTACTTCCTGCTCTCATTGAGACGGCCATGCAGTTCTGCTGTTTGCTTGGAATATTGCAAAACTCCACCATCGCTGGCCATGGTGATAACCAACAAAACCATCTACGATTCAGCAGGTGATTTCCACGGCAGGGGTTACCCAAGCCATACTCTAGGAGGTCATCAGGCCTTAAACAAGAAGGTCATCTATGGCGATTTCTATACCGTCTCACAATTGGCAGGGGCTGGACTGAGCTCATGGCACACGGCCGGGTTTTTATAGGAATTAGAGGATTTCAGGACCCAGGCTTTTATCTCTTTCAGCCCCTTGTTTTTTCCTACTCAGAAGCATGGGCTACTGTGTGCGTGTCAGTAGGGCTAGAGACCTAAAATGCTAACACAAAGTAAGCATCAAGTTCTTTCTGAGAGTCATAGGGTTGCCAGCATGCTGATGAAACTCTTGCTCTATTGTAGTATATAAGCCCAGCAAATGTCTTAGGCTTGGCACTAACTCTTTGGTCCCTCACTGAGCTACACTAGCACCAGAAGGTCCTGCCTTAGGACTTCCCTGATGCACTTCTAACGACTGGCATTGTGTCTTAGAATTTTTAATCTTACCAAGCACCCTGAAGAGAAGGACTGGACCTGCCTGGTCTCTGTACACCAGGTACCTAGCACTGTGTCTGATTAATAATCAGTGCTCAAGGGGGTAAAATGTGTGCTGGACGGATGGATGAGTGAACAAATGGGTAGAACTGGGGCGGGAGACAGAGCCTGGTTTCAGCATTTTGCCGTGGAGCTTTATTTTTGTGGCTTCCATTCTTTTTCTGTTTAAAAAATGCCAAAAAGTAACAGAACTGTAGAAAATGAAAGCCCCCCCTATAAATCATGCCTCCCCACAATCCATGCTTGATACACAACAAATAACCCTTGACAACAGCGCGTCGTTTATCTTCCTGCGTCTTGTAGCATGACTGTCACACGGACGACAGCCAGGCTTAGAAGGTCTCTGAAGGCCCCAGAGACACCCCCGTCGCCCACCACAGGCGGGGTTGCGCTTCCGCAATCGGAGAAGTGCGGGGCACAAGGGTGGGTGCTTTTTTTGCGTCGGCGCGAAAGCCTTCCCTTTCCGTACCTTCTCTTCTGTTTGTCCCTCTTCTCCCTCTTGTTAGCTCTGCTCCTTTGTACTGATTCCCAAAGCTAGTTCAATTTTTCTTTCAGTACCTTTAGAGTCTGAGATTGTTGTCTCTTTAGCAGACTTAGCACATCCATTCCAAGATTCCAAGAATTCTTTTACTATAAGCAAGGAAGTGATGGAAATTTCCCAGAAGTCTCAACATGACAGGCTCTATGATATATATATATATATATGTATATATATTATCACACAAAATACTATATACATATTCTATACATCTACTCTTACCTCTGTGAAGATGCTCACAGATGTCTTCACCATCCGACATGTAGGCGATCCACTTATGGGTCTGTTTCCATGACGCCACCACCGTGTTGCCATGCTGGACCTGGACCTTGTACTGGAGTGGGCCCATGATCATCTTCCTGTTACAGTGCCATCTCAAGGAAATGAGGGTGGAATCACATTCATACAGGCTTAATGGCTCTTCTGGATTGGATAGATTCAGGCCGAGGCAGCCACTGCCACCCACATTAAAGAGGTGGCTGTTTGAAACCCATTTCCACAACATGTACTTATTTGGCTGTTTGCAGTCCTCCAGGGTCAGGACGGATCTACCTGCCTGAATGCACGTCTTGAGGCTCTCGCTCTGGATAATGAAAATTCCTTTATCTGTAACAGAAGAAATGAAAGATGCGGTATACAGTTTTCGTGTGTAATTAGCTAGGCTGTGATGATCCCAGTGCGAGTATCTGCGCTGTGATGAGACACAGCCGCCAGTCATTTCACAGTTGAGGGACCGGGTCCATGGGCTTAATTTACACAGAATAGTTTTCTGGTAAGCAGATCAGTCTTTCTTGGCAATGACGAGAGACCATTGACCTAGGAGGTCCCTGGGCATGGATGAACAGGGTTTCCTGGAAGTCCAAGTTCTTATAACGCTTGAACAGAGAACAGTGATGCAAGGGACCAGTGGGAGGGACATTGGGTGTCCAGGGTGTGGCCATAATCTATTTGTCTTCAGGCAAATTTCTTAGTATTTGGAACAGGGCGGCTCAGGCAAGAGCCATTGAGATGGAGACTTCTAGCCTCATGTTCATGCAGAGACCCACAAGGTAACAGAAGCCCTTGTCTGCAGCTGTCTGATAGAGGATTCAGTACTGGTGAGAACTTAAGGCTTCTGCAGATGGCTTTCTGTCTAGATCCATCAGGAATGCGAAGGTGCCAACGTCTGCTATTCTTATCACGAGTAGCCTAGGGAGCATGCCGGTGCCATCAAGAGAATGCATGATGCTTAGATACAAAAGAGGCATGGGATACAGAGGCAGTGGTAGAGAAGAACAAGTTAGAACAGGACAAGATAGAATATTCCCTTGGCCAGTTTCCTATGAAAAAGATGGTAGGATCCAGCCAGAGAAGCCATGTCCACTGCTTGCCTGCTGACCTAGACGTCACCTACTCCATCACTGGGCACACATTTCCTCATAGGCCTTCTCCTGATGATGATGCTGTCTTGGTTCTGTAGTCTCGATTCAGTAAGTTCTTGATGCTGACTGGACATGTCAGCAGCTGCTGCTTAAAGTGGCTTTATCTCAGAACATCTGTTCACATCCTCGAGTTCTTTTGTCCTCTCCTGAACTAGGCTCCCAGATTACGTTTTACTTCTCATTTATTCCTTAGAATTCTGAAGGGACCACATCGGATTCCTTAAAATGGCTGGGTTTAGGGGAGTGGGGGGGTCATAGAATAATAGTAGGCAGAGTCAGGGGGAGCCTCTGAGAGATGTGGAATCACACAGATGAGCCTCCCAACACAGGAGAATGAAGAGCAGGGCCTCCTTTTGGGGGAAATCCTTTTGGTTTCCTCCAAAACTGATCTGGCTAAGAGCTGATTTCTAGTAACCCAAATCACTTAAGACTCTGTTAAAAAACATTGCCTGTGTATTAGTGAAAGCCGTACCTCTAATAATTGATAGCCTTGCTCATAGCTAGGAGTGTGAGGAGTTAAATTCGTTGTCAGAAAAATGCTTTGATTACCTCACATCAGAGCAGAAGAGAAGAGAGTGCTGAGGGGCTGGGGTGAGGTGGGGGAAATGATGGTTTTCGGGAGATTTCATTTCGATCTGGAAGTTTGTCTTCCTAATGGAAGCCACGTCTGGGTGGTTATTAGTTCCAGTCATTCAAAATCAAATCCGCCTCTCATCAGCGTGACATGGACTTCGGTAATCAACCTTCCCTCCAACTCTTCTCGCCTTCTCACGCCTGGGCAGCACGGTAGCCTCAATTTCGGCTGTATTCTGCTAATTGCTTTCGAGCCAACTCCGAGTCCCATTACTTTTTCAATAAGGGATAATTATTTTACTATGATCAACCTGTGGCTTAGCTTCTATCTAACGTGCATATTCCAGTGTATTCAGCTCTGATGTGCTATGGACCGGGCCTCAATTTATGCGTCTGAGATGGGTACATTGGGTAATTGGATTGTGGGTAAGAGCTCTGGACCCAGGTGGACCCACCACAGACCAGCTGTGTATCTGTGGACTGATGGCTGGATCTCTGGGAGCCGCACTTTCTCTGTTTTGAGTTGGAACTGTGTACCATATGAATTCATAGGATGTGAAGGGCAGTCCAGTAAATATGCCATGCAGAACTACCATGGCGAGCGAGAAGGGGCCAGTAAGCATGACTCAGTAGCCTTCCTCGGACTTCTTGATTTTGAGTGACAGAGCACGCTGGAGACCTGTAGGTCTCGCTGGGCTTTATGAAGTTCTACTCTGGGCATCTGCCAAAGACTTCCTTATTTTTCAACATTATCATGAAGATTTATTTTCACTTTTGTTTTAACCACACACAGTGGAGCAAAATGATCCTGGGATCTGCTATCATCCTTTATAGAGGAATCACACTCTTCAAAGAACCAGATTTGGCTGGGTGGTGGTGTTGTTGCACTCTTTTAATCCCAGCACTCTGTGAGTTCGAGACCAGCCTGGTCTACAGTATGAGTTCCAGGACAGTCAGAGCTATAGAGTTTCTCTGTTTAAATAAAAAAATAAAATAAAACAGCAACACCCCCCCCCGATTTAAAAAATCCTAGTCTCACTTTTTCAAGTTCATGTACCATTATTATTATTAAGACTCCTCATGTTTTGTTCTTCCACACCCCCTTCATTGCAAAGTATATACTTAAAATAACTGAGAAAAAGAAAGATTTGTGACATGAACAAGTAATATATTGGTGGCAGGATAAATAAATGGTCCAAGAAATTGCACATCACCAGGATTTAAGGTGAAAAAAATAATGTTTTATGTTTCCAAATTAGTACATTTTTAAGGGAAAAGAGTGGCCAGTAATCACCAAAATCTTTCCCAAAGCATAAAATACAACCAGATAAGCCTGGTCCATGCTGCTGAGCTTCCGGGAGCCATGTCAGCTTCTTTTAGGATGCTGCTTTGGGAAAGTGAATCAGTGTATATCTTAAACAGGTAGGCATGAACAAATGTGCTGCCTCCCAATAAGCCAAGCTAACAAACTATTCGAGCCACTTTCCCATCAAGTCACAACAGAATCTGATCTAATATTCCATGTCTCTGTGTCTGTCTACCATCCCTTTATGAGTGGCAGGGTCTTGCTGTTTCGTAGGCTGGTCCTGGGCTTCCTCCTTCTGCTCCAGCCTCTCACACACTGGGATCTCAGGTGTGAGCCACCCCACCTGGCGCCCAACACCCTCAATTTCCTTGGATTCACAAACAACGAACAATCTCCCAGTGGACCATGAGGAGACACACTGTAAGCATCATTGTCAGAGCTGCTACTGTGTGCACATCTTAGCTGTCCCTAAAAAAATTCTGCAACGTGGAAAAAGGCCACTAATCCTTAGTGTGTGCAGTTGCTGGATTTGAGAGAGGATGGAAATCAAGGGTGGGAGGAATCAAGATTGATTATATATGTCAAGGACATCAGTTCTGCCTGAACAGAGACTAAATGATTAGTGAAGTACTGCCTGAATTACTAAATCTCTTTGCAAGGAAGTGTTATGTTCTTCCCTTCCTAATTATAAATTTGGGTGGAGGAGAAGTATGGATTATTAGAAGAAACCTACAAGCTAATAAACATTCTTAAAGCACAAGTAAAATAGCACCTGCTTTTCCCTTCTCAGTTTCTAATCAGGGAGAAGGAACCCTGGCTTGATCAACTGCTCATCTTAAGATACTTTTTCCATGACTGTGGGTGGCCCCTTCCTTCACTTACTCATTCCAAAAGCACTCATTGGTGCCAGCCCTGTGGGAGGGACAGGCCTGGAGGCCAAGAATTGTTAGTCTCTCTGTCCCTGGAAACTATCAATCTGTGTGTTCTGGGATCTTGAGAATTGCCCTAGCTAGTATAATGAAGGAAGTCCCATCAGCGCTGAAGAAACATGACTACAATCGCACTCAAAATGAGCCTGTGAAAATAAGTAATTAAAATAATCCAGGACAAAGAAGATAGATCACACAAAAAGACACTTAACGGAGCCCCCCACGGCTGTCAGTAGGAAGTAGATGGGACTCCCTTCCATGTAGGTAGGGAGCATGTGGATACCTGCGCTTGCCCATCTTCCAGGGAAGATAAGCTGAACAGCCCTGGGTAGAACCTGAGTTTAGCAGAGGAGACAACATTCACCCAGAAACCCAGACCTGTGACTTTCAGAGTCAGCTAGGACAACTTATCTAATTGAACCATTCATTCACTGTTTCTCTTCCAAATTCACTTTGCCTGAGGATACAAGTTCAAAATTTACTGAGGACTGTATTCCACTGTAGTTTATTTTTATATATCCTGTCAACGCCTTTAGAAAGAAGGAAATAAACTCGAAATTTCCAAGAGCAAACATGCAGTGACTGAACTGTTGGGAACCTGCTGATGGAAGGTACCTAAGTCAGAGTGCTGCCCTCAGGAGTGAGTGCCAGGGATGAAGGTGATTGTAACTCAAGGCCAAACTTACCTGTTTACCTAACAGAAGTCCATTGCGGTGGAAATGAGAGGTAAATGGCATCATTTTGGTCTTGAATAGCAAAGGATCACAGTCCTCATATTTTCACCCAAGAAATGCTGACTAGGGGCCTGATAATTGTAACCGCAGGTGTGTACTGGTTCTAGATAGCTGCCTCTGTTTGTCACACGGTGTTCAGTGTTCGTAATAGCAGGGGACTGAGTCCATAGATAGCCTGGTGGCTAACAAAGGGATCCTGCAAAGAGGATGGATGCCCTGGACACAGCTCAGAGATGATGACAATAGTTAGCCTTTGGGGGATGACAGCATAGCTGGATAGAAAATGTTGGCAAGCCAGGGACCTTCACAGAGGTAATCCCAAGCCAGGAGCATCTGTGGGAACAGGCCCAAGCCAGCGACCTCTGCTGGAGCAGGCCTGGAGCCAGCAACTTCAGCGGGAGCAGCCCCAAGCAAGCTAACCTCAACAGATTTAAAAACAACAACAACAACAACAACAACAAAAACGGAATAACCACATGTATCTTATCGGATCATTGTTGTTTAAAATTAAAATTCAATAGCAACACTAGTTTCAGGAAGCCCACAAATACATGGAAATTAAACAATGCTCACATGAATCATCAATGGGTCAAGGAAGAAATAAAAGAAGAAATTAAAGACTTTCTAAAATCCAATGAAAATG